TATAGGCATAGCTTTAGGGAAACTTGTAAGACTAGTTAAGTTGAATAACAAAGTGTAGAGTTTGAAGCTGTGGACTGGAGGTTCAAATGCATGAACATAAAATTAATTTACTAAATGCATGTTTTTGGTCCACAATACAAATAATTACAAAGAAAAAATCATTATTTGGGCTATCACAAAAGGCCAAAAAATTTGATTTGCTAGCTAGAGGTTATGTACTGTTATAAATATGTTATTCAGCAAGTGAAATTCTTGATCAATTCAAGCTAAGAACTTACTGATTTTAGACTCTACTTAATTTTTTTTCTTATTCAGGCCGAGGCTCGTGGTTGTACGCAGCACCAAAAGTGTTTGTCAGGTAAGCATAATCACTGCCCTTCAAACCCCTCCCTAATATGGGTAAGAAGGTTTTGAAGAAGTAAAGAAGGTTCGTGAAGTGAAGACGTTGAAGAACCTCCATGAATCGAAGAGACTGAAGAAGCTCTGTGAATCGAAGAGCGATTAGGTATGTACTGCTTTTATGTTCATTGGTTGTTAGATGCCCATTTTTTAATTGATTTTTTGTTGTTATTGGGCATTGGTTTTTGATTTGAATATGGGTTTTTTTAAGGATTAGGGTTTTATCTAGATTATGATATGATTGAAAATGAAAATTTATTGTTGTTACTGGGTATTATATTCTGCATCCAATTAGGGCTTTTTTTTAAGGATTAGGGTTTTTTCCAGATTATGAAACGTTAGGATTTATTCGAATTAGGATTTTTTTTTTTTAAGGATTAGGGTTTTTTCCAAATTAGTTTTTTCAGATAAAGAAATGTAAAAAAAAATACAAATTTATTGTTAGCTGATTGATTGTTAATGGACAAACATGGATGTGAATCTCCTTGACTTGATCATATATTATAATGACTGAAAGGATAAAGAAGTACCGTTAATTTCTTCATGTTCTGATTCTATATGTTTAGCTTTCAAAGTTTACTCTGATGTGTCTGGTTCTATTAACAGAAGGTTGGTGGATGATGACAATGATTTAATAGAGATGTTTGATATGTATAGAAATAGAGGACAGATACATGTACTTGTTGTTGCAGAAGGAACTGAAACTATTGTGAGAGACTTAACATTTGAATTGAATGGTATCCATTAGAGTCAAGTAAATGAAAATTAGGTCAATGAGAATCAAGGTTATGTTAATGAGAATCAAGGAAATGGAGATCAGGGCAACGGGAATTAGGTAAATGAAGAAGCTGGAAATAGTGATGATGGTGACTATGAAAGTGATGATGTTTATGGATTAAGGTCAAAGAATGAAGACTATGGAGAAGAAAATCAGAACACAACTTATGGCTGTGCAATAGGGGCAGAAGTATGCCATGATGATGGTTTATCGGATTATGAATCGAGTGATGATGATCTTAACCAATCTAGCTCAGAGTCGGATGATAATGTAGAAAGTCCAAGACTGAGGGCTAATGCTAGGGAATTTGACAGGAATAGAGATGGGAGGAAGTTTTAAAGGCAACCTGATGGGACGGTTAAGTTGTAGGTTGTTCAGCTATTTTTGAATATCCATCACTCCCAAAAAATTCAAAAAGACTATGTAGTCAAGGAGAGATTTCTAATAGTTAGAGACAAAAATGAGAGGCAACATCCACATGACTTGCGAAGAAATTAGCCACTAAAATAAGAAGTAATCTAGAAATGAAACTGGATTCAATACAAGAAACAATCAACATTAAGTTGTACATAGAGGCTAATATACAAAAGTGTTACAGAACTAAAAGGAAAGCTTTATAAGACATCAAGGGAAGCAATTTAAAGGCATATTATCAGAATGTGTGGGAATGAAATCATGAGGAGTAATACTGAAAGTATTGTTGTTATAGAGACTGATGAACCTGATGGGGATGGGAAAAAGACCTTTCAAGAGGATTTTCATTGCTTTTCATGCTCTTACAACAGGGGTTATGGCTGATTGTAGACTATTCATAAGACTAGATGGGTGTCACTTGAAAGGGTCATATGGTGGTGTTCTTCTATCTACTATTGCACTGGATGCTCATAATGGCCTATTTCCCATTGCTTTTTGTGTGGTGGAGAGTGAGAGGACAGACAGCTGGACATTCTTCCTTACCCAGCTAGCAGAACTCATTGGGCATGACACAAATCCGCTATGTTTTATGTCTGACCAGCAGAAGGTATATTCCCCATTTTTGTTGCTTACTATGAACTGTCATTCTTAACTGTTTTATATTCCCCATTTCTGCTACTTAACTTTTGCTTAATTATACATCATGGACTGAATAATGTCATAAGGAACTTATTCCCACAAGCTAGTCATCGTACATGTGCTTGTCATTTATTTGCCAATTTTAAGGCAAAGTTCCCTGGGGTTCTGCTTAGAAGATTGCTTTGGAAGGATACTAGAGCCTAAAATGAAAAGGACTTCAATGAGGCTATGTTGGAGTTAAAGTCCAAGTCTCTAGAAGCATTCCCGTGGTTGAGTAGATTACCAGGAAGTTCCTGGGCTAGGCAAGCCTTTGACTGTAAAATTAAAAGTGACCATGCTACTGGTAACTTGACAGAATCTTTTAACAGTTGGGTTGGATCATTGAGACTAAAATCCTTTATCACATTGTTGGATGGTATAAGAACAAAATTAATGAATTGGATTCAATAGAGAAATGAGAGGGCCATCACCTGACAGGGGTTAGTGACTGAAAATGTAAGGAAAAAACTTAACAAAGTCATTTATTAGTCAGGACTTGTTCTGTGGTGCATGAAGGTGGGATGAATTATGAGATAATGGATAATGGGATCAAATACATAGTGATACTAGAACAAAGGAAATGTGATTGCAAGGCTTGGGAAATATCATGGCTACCTTGTAGGCATACATCAATTGCACATAAGAGGCTGAACATTGAAGAATGCTATCATGAATTCTTCAAAAAAGAGATTTTTTTAAAAGCTGATGATACACCCCATTCAGGATAAGAGGAAATGGTCAACAACCATTGGGGATCCTCTAGGCTTTCCCCCTCTCAGGAGACTCCCAAGCATTCCAAGAAAAAATAGGAGGAGAGAGGCTAATGAACCTACAACAGGAACTAGTGTGGCTAGAAGATGTCTAACTATTAGGTGTAAAATATGCAAAGAATGTGGGATTATTAAAAGATCATGTCAAAGGGCTCTTGTCCGGGGATCTAGTGGTGAAAGAACTAGATAGGATGAAGGTGAAATCAATCTAAACTCTCAAACAAGCAATGTGACTTCCGCTGGTAATTTATCACAGGTATGTGTCAACTATTTTCAGCTATATCTTACATATTTGATTTTTAAATGTGTTGAACACGTGTTAAATTGTATAGGCAGTTGCTGGTGGTGCAAGCATGGGTGCTGGCAGTGGTGGTGCAAGCGTGGGTACTGGAAGCGATGGTGCATGCAGAGGTATTGGCAAGGGGAGAAGAGGACATTCTGCAAACTTCCCAGAAAACTAAACACTGCAAGGCCAATGAGCATAGGAAAAGGAAGACAACGTAGGGGAAGGGAGAGAACTAAGACTCTGACTTAATTTCATATGCTGATAAGCACTGTGAATGTTTTTGTGATTTTTTGTTCCTGGTGTTAATATTTGGATAGTTGGTGGTATTCAACATAGGAATAGTTTTTGGTGGTGTTGCTTGACCACAAAATTGTATATTTTGTGCGGCCTAAGCTAAATATTTTTTTTTTGAACTTGTTGCAGACTAGGTTGTAATAGCACATTGATGCTATGTCCAAGTATACATGTAATGGCGAATGGGTAACCTTAGCAGGTGCAAACATTACTAACTGGTGCATATGTAAAATAATAAAGCTATTACAACAGAGTGCAAATTGATAGAGTACCAATTTCACTGGTACATATATAAGATAACAACATCAATTTAGCTAGTCTATTACATCTTCATCACGAGAATCATTACAACCAAAATTTGTAATACCAATACACGAACTACAACTATCTCTAGCATCTTCAGTCTTTGATCGCAATTAATACCACATTAGGCTCATTTCTGACTTGCCTCATTCCATGCCCCTCGTCTTGAGAGAACATTGGTACAACAGATATGGGATTACACCATGTAAAATACCTACATGATCCCTTCTCACAGTTAAAATACAATCTTCCTTTGGTGGGGTTTTCCGATTCAACGATCTTAATCACAGTTTTTTTACCACAATAACATTAGTCATAAGCAAACCTTATATTGACAGTTTCCTCTCCTACCTCTCTGCCTCCAACAAAGCTAGATGAAGAAGATATAGAGCCCTAACTTTAACAATGTCATAAATCTGTATATATTATAAACAAAAAAAAAAAATCATCCTAAAATTCCTCAGTGGATTAAGCCAAAGAAAAAAAAATAGGAAAAACTCCACAAAATCATACACTAATAAGGCAGAGATTATACCTAGCAGAGACCTTCGTCTTTGGTACATCTTCGAGCTGTGAGACCTTTATTGTTTCTTCCACAAAGATTCATAGAATTGTGACTCCGAGTGGTGGGTGGTATAGGTATAAGCCTTGTAAAGTAAATGGTATATTCGGCATACTGTTAGAATATTAAGTCATGATTTTCGCTAGAATATTAAGTCATGATTTTCAGATTGTCAGACACGGCCGTTAACGGGAGGGGTGTAAGTGATTCAACAATACTAGAAGGGGGTACAATAAAAGTTTAAAAGAAATAGGGCGTGTTATTGAATATATAGATCACTACGATGAAGTTTTACCCTAGTACAATGAATATTAAATGAAGTACTATGGGTATATTGGTATTTCTGCAGGATGTGTGATGGATAATATTTGCAATTTGTTTTGAAGTATTTGGTAGTTAAGAACAAAAGCTTAAAGTTAAGAGAGGTTATTTGCAATTACATCTAAGTGAATGGGTGATTTTTGCAATTAGCCTTACAATTTAACCCAAAATCGAAATTTGGATAAAATTATTTCAATGTTCAAACATTCTCCACCTTATCCAACGTCACAAGAGCATATGCTCTTTCATGGATCCGTTGTGATTTCTCCTCCACTCAGAGCCAAAGCCAGAACCAGAGCCACAGCACCAAAACCTTTTCTGGTACCAATTACAAACTTCGGAAAGACAGACTCTGCACAAACACAAGAGAAAACCGAATTGATGGCTTCAGCAATAAGAAGACCCACGTTTACATTCAACCTCTCAACCTCTCTTACCCAACCATGCCCTCGAAAACCTCGCCTCACATTCTTATCTCTCCTCCCCAGACCCTTCCCAATTTCAGCCCTTCGCAAACACCCAAAACTCCAATTCACATTAAAGTCCATTGATGTCTCCAAAGAAGACATACCTATCTCAGAACAACCCATTACAGAGACACCCATTTCAGAACAGCCGAATTTAACACCGACCACCTCTGAATCTCCACTCGAAGAATCCAAAGAGGTCGATAAACGAAGGCTTGAAGAGAAATTTGCGGTGTTGAATACCGGAATTTATGAGTGCAGGTCTTGTGGGTACAAGTATGATGAGGCCATTGGCGACCCTTCTTATCCTATTCCACCCGGATTTCCATTTGATAGGATGCCGGAAGATTGGCTGTGTCCGACTTGCGGGGCTGCCAAGAGTTTCTTTGAGAGCAAGAGTGTGGAGATTGCTGGGTTTGCTGAGAATCAGCAGTTTGGGTTAGGTGGTAATTCACTTACATCTGGGCAAANGCGGGGCTGCCAAGAGTTTCTTTGAGAGCAAGAGTGTGGAGATTGCTGGGTTTGCTGAGAATCAGCAGTTTGGGTTAGGTGGTAATTCACTTACATCTGGGCAAAAGGCAGTGCTCATATATGGTAGTTTGCTCTTAGCCTTTGTCTTGTTTTTATCTGGGTACTTTCTCCAATAATGATGGACTTGATGAAGTTAAGGTATACTTATGCTCTTTGTAAATANAAAGGCAGTGCTCATATATGGTAGTTTGCTCTTAGCCTTTGTCTTGTTTTTATCTGGCTACTTTCTCCAATAATGATGGACTTGATGAAGTTAAGGTATACTTATGCTCTTTGTAAATTTTGTGTTGTGACATTTGTTTTTGTTTATTATAAATGTAATGATAATATGAGATAGATGAGAATTTATGCTATTGAATGGATTGGTAGAGCATGCTTTTTCACATATCATTTATGTGCTGGTAAATTGTAGTGTTTTTGATACTTTGAGGAGGAATGAATTTTATCGATGTTATTTAGGAATTTAACATTGCAAAGTTAGTCCAATTTTCGCATTGAGTGTTATAAAATTGCCTAATATTAACATTATTTTTTTTCAAATTTGGTCATCTTACGTAGGCCTATAATTAAAAATTTTAGAACACATCCCACAAAAACTCTATTTGTTTTTCTCTTTACAAGTGCACTAGACAAGAATACATTTTAGAGAGTTCTAATGCTATGTTTGGATGGAGGGAAGTGGAGAGAAAAGAAAAGATTTAGAGAGAGAGGATGGACACATCCTTTGTTTCCAAAAATAAGAAGAACGACTATGACATTTTTATCTTTCTTTTCTCTCCAAGAACTTCCGGACAAGGGGTTGTCATTTTCCTCCTTTGTTTCTTCGTTTCTTTTCTCTTCTTAAACATCTCTTCTTTTCTTTTCCAATATGATGTTTTTTCATAAACAAAAACAATAATGACACCAAATGTTAGTTATTAGAGTTTGAGTAGTTTCATTAAGTTAGAATTTTCAATTTTGAGTTTGAAAGCTGCACATGTTTTTTTTTTTTTGGGTAAAAGCCTCACATGTTACTAAAGAGTATGGTTTTGGAGATGCTGCAAAGAACAGGCTCCAAGATGTGAATTTCTGGGTTTTTGGACAGAGCTTGGCCTCTTTCTGTCTTTCTCTTTTCTTCTTCCTCTTTTCTTTCCCATACTTCCCTTCATCCTTATTCTTCATCTTGCTCTAATTCTTCTTACCACGATGATTTGTTCTCTCCTAGGTGTATTATTTATTCTAGCACCTTTTTGTCATTATTCTTCCCCTTGTTTCTCTAATTTCTTCTCCTTGTAGATACGAGGTCCGTAGTGGATTTTAGGTTTTCCCGCCATTTCTTCATTCTTTCAAGAGTTTTTGCAACTAGCTGTCTTCGCTCTCTCATCTTTCTCACGTCATTCTATCAAAAAGAAAAGAGAACAGCCATACAATCAGCTAAAGTTTTTTTTCTCATTATGTGTGATGAAATCCCTGAGGCAGGAGTCATTTTGTGTGCCACAAATCAATTGAAACAAGGCTTTCCAACAGGTGTCTGATGAAGTTTTGTGTAGAATATCCAGTATCATGTTTTCTTTTAATGTGTAAATAGAAAATACATAAATTTATGGATGCAAGTAGCAGCAGGAGTATTTGTTTATTTAGGTATTTCAGCGTTTTATTTGGCTGCCTCAAACAAATTGTCAAGAGCCAGGTTACATCAGATTGATATCAAAGACGAAAATCCTTGAGGATAGCAAAATGAGACGATGATTTACTCTCTTGAATAACTTGAAAACCTCGAAGGCGAATATGCAGCAAAGGCTACATGAAGGGCAAAATACGATTATCCATCAGATGTGCTTAAGGTGGTAGCCAGCCCTACAATAGTAAAAAGGTTACATAAGCGTAGTATCCAGTGTGGTGATAGTGCCAAATACATGTCTTGTATCAAAGTCTATAGAACTCCCAAACTAAACCCACCTTCCCATTTATGCGTGTAGGCAACCACATCTTATTCTGTTTTCTTGTCTTACAACTTATCGGCCTTGACAATTGACATGATAATATTTCCTATCTTCATTTATTTGAGCAGCTAATACTTTAACTGGTCAAGTTGTAACCTGAAGCATGCTAGAGTATGTCAGTGTCCCATCAAATTCTCCCTTAATCTTAAGGGGTCATACATCGCACTCCACATGAACATCTTTGCCCTCATTCATCACGGAGTGATATATGGAAACAGCTTCATCAATCTATTACTGGTTATCAGTATTCATAACTCCCTAGTACTGAGTTTGATTGTTCATTTTTGGCAACTTGATTTGTTTCTTCATCTTTTCTCTCTGTTTTTTTAATTCTTCCCGGTGGGGTTGCAGTTGGGTTATTAGTGTTAGTTAATACTACTGCGAGAAGCAATACATGACACAAACAGAGTTCAGAATTGGTGCTAATTGTGATGACATGTCATCCAAATTGAGGATTTAGATCCCCTCTATTACTCATTCTCTTCAATTCTCCTCAATACAGTGTTAGATAAGTGACACGTGTAAGATTTTGAATTTCAATGGATAAAATTTTTTCCTTAAGAGAAAATTCCTTAATAATGGTCAACACTCCACTAACAACAAAAATGAATGAGGAAACATCTTATCCATTGAAATTCAAAATCGTGTATGTGTCACTCATCTAATACTGTATTGAGAGAAATTGAAGGGAAGAGATAATGGAGGAGATCTAATTCCCCAAATTGAGACGTGTACGAATCAATCAATCAATCACCAGTAGAGTCCTATGTTTATGATTTTGTCCTCAGCCATATTTTTCAATTAGTTCCTTGTTCCTTATTTTTCAAATAAACACAGAAAAAGGCAAAAAACAGGAGCCCCCAAGGATGTGAACCTTCTGATTTCAAAATTTTCAGAGCCATCCCTTCATGAGTTTCCAACTACTCAGTGTTCATTTTAGGTGCTCTTGTCAAGATTTCATGTTGGTTGATATATATGTCTACCTTCGTTCCCACAACTATCTTATCAAATCTCTGCCATTTTCACACCCCTTTGTAACAATTTATACTTGGAAAGGTAATGCATGCCAAGGTTTATCCTATTCGTTTTTAAACCATCAAAAGCAGCATCACCTCTGAGCTATGCCATTTCCTTCCAAGATAGGGTCAATTTATGGCACATAAGAAGATGGTAGACCACTTAATTGCTAATTTTTTAAGAGGTGGAACGAGCATTGGAGTTCTGGTGGAACTGCAATCTGTTTAGAGCTATGGATTGAAGTTTAACCTTTATTTTTTTCATTATTTTGTTTAGGAAATTAAACCAGCTAAAAGAGTAAAAGAAAATGAAAGACATTTTCTCCTTCGACGTGCATCGTCACCTCTCGTGTTATTAATCTAAGAGGCTGTGTATATTTCTTAAATTCAAAGAGATTAAGCGCAATCCAACCAAACCACAATGGTGTAGACATGATTTGGTAATGATTATGTTGACTTAGACACACATCATAGCTTTGGGTGGTTAACATGGTTTTTTCATTTCTATTTACTCGGCTCACATCATAGGATTACTTTCTTCCATACTGGGTAAACATAAAAGTATAACCACATCATTAAATCACGGCACAATCACAGACAATAAGCCCTTTTTAACACTCAGAGACAGCAGGTTTATTTCCGCTAGGTATGGTGCGTCACGTCGCTTTAATTACAGCCTTCTTAATCACCATGAATGCAAAGCATCATTATCACTGAAATTGCAACACTAACAACAAAACAGCATATACCTTACCTAGCCTATATTACAAACCGAAAATCTCTGGGGAAACAATAGTCTAGCCAAACCCTATGAACCAAATAAGATGACTAACAAAGTACTAATCGGCAGAACTCACCTGAGTTATGGAGCAGTTCAACATAAGTAATCATTCAGACACAACATGAGTAAATTGTGCACTGATTTCATCTCCCATGGACAGAACATGTATCTGTTGTACTGCTTAATTTGGGTCCACATAAAATTATAAAGTATACGAGGAAAAAAAAAAAAAAAGGAAGAAAAAAGGGCAATGCTACACCTTCCCCTAAGCCTGCTCGAACATGTTTACTCTACAGTCCCCTTCCACGACAAAACAAATAATGAAGTAGAAGAGGAACGCTGGAATGAGAGTCTCCACCTTTTCTCCATCCAATCAGTACAACCTATTTCCCTGAACCCAAAATAAAATGAAAAGAGAAAGAATGCCCTGACATATAGCATACATGTGCCCTACTGATACAACATACAAGTGGACCCTATGTGAAGCCGGCACCATAAAAATGCTGATCTCCAATTAAGGTAGTCGCTCAACTGCTGTAACAATTAGAAGTTGTTCCAACAGCAACCATTAGATGTTATCAGGAGCTTCTTGTCAGTGCCAAATTGACAGATGCAGCTGTGTATTGGTCCCTAACACTTGGGTGAACCTAGCTCCAATTGTACAGGTAATATTAGGCAACCCCAAAGTGAAAACAAATCCAAGTCAACTTCGACCACATCAACCCTGAGGTTCAGGGTGAGATAAGTTGGGTGATCGACTCTTAACCTGATAAACCATCTTTACTTGCTTCTCATTCCCTACAGCTGATGAAGTTTCTACTTGTCTAAAATATATCCCATTATATGCAGCTGCAGGCTTATTGATCCACTCAGAAGGCGGGGGTGGAGGGGTACGAATGTTCTGATCAAACTGGTGATTCATGTTCGGTAATGGTCCTGAGTTTGGCATCCTTGGAGACAATGCTGCATGTGGCCGGGTTCTAACACCAGATTCTAGTGTCAAAGCAGACATTCCATTCCTTAACTTGTGATGTTGTTCTTGATGTAGATATCTATCTTGTGCCTTGAAATTCTGCCTGTTGCTTTGTAACTCATATGGGGAGATGGCAAATCTAGGGCTACGCATTATGCCTCGAGGGTTGTCATATCCACATAAGTAACTTTGATCCTCACAAAAGCTCTTTTCGTAACCAGATGATCCAGCTGGCCTTGTCCTATTTATTACATGGTTGCCTTGTGCATTTCGAGATGTTTGCTCCACCAATCTGTAAGATGTCTGACTGGTTTTGATATTCAGTGTGTTCTTGAGCAGACGATGCGCTGCTTCTCCCAACATGGGCCCAGATATTGCACCAGGTACTTGTCGCCTGAAAACCAGAAGCAACATAACAGATAACTGTATGAATGTGATGAAAGAGTACCAATAGTAGTAGTGGTAGTGGAGGTGGAAGTGATACCTTCCAACATTGTAGTCAAAACTATTGAAAACAAGCAGTTTCGGCTCCCCTTTTTTCACCAAGGCAAGAATATACAAAACAAGGTTTAGAGGCGGGAGGTGGGTCACAATGTAACTTATGCTGCCTAATATGCTTATTCATTCCCCATATTTACCGCCAAGTTTTTTACAACCAGATTTCTGTACTCCATAAACACTTCAAGCCCATCCTTCTAGTTCATTCAGTTTCCAGTTTGCTTTCTCTGGTCTCCATTTTTTATATTATTTTTTTTGTGAAGGTTTCCTCATCATAATCTTCCTCTTTCTTTGTTGTCAAAAAAGTAAAAAAAAAATAAAAATACAACCTTCAAAATCTCTGGTTACGGGCATCCCATTATATTTTACCTCCATTTAAGTTTCTTAAGGTCACAAACCAGACCATAAGATCCTTCAAATCCAGTGCATATAAAATGCAGAAACATAGAACTGAGAAGTAGACATAGATTTAATGAGTTTATTATTTCCAATTGTCACTTAAATGAGACAATGGTCCACATTAAATATGAAAGCTGATTTGCCTTTACTGGTACTACAAAAAAAAAAAGATTGGATCTTTCTTGCGGAAATAACCTTCATGGTCAATTGCTTGCTTCAAAGAGATACCCATTGGTCAAGTTACCTGGTCAGGTCACCAAAGCCTTGTCTGCATGGATATTCCACAGCAGATGATAACCATAGGAAAACGTACAGAAGTAATCATGGAATGCAGGAGGGAGAAAAAAAAAGGGGGGGGGGGGGGGGGTGTGGACTACCTACTTTACATAAACAATGCTACCTTCCGAGTCAAACCATAACCCAATTAGGTAACATCCTTAACGCTGTTACACCCCCACAAAATCCAAGTTCGTGACATTTTTATCACAAAAATCTTAAAATCACCAAATTCATTCTACCTACCACCCAATTCCTCACATCGATCTCCCTCATTATGAGCCTGACAAAGCTTTTATCACCATGTTGAGTTGTTTTAACGATAGTTTCATCCAGAACAATGAGTTTGAAGGTGGCTGGGGTTAATGGTTTTCTCTGGCATTTATAGTGGCTATATTCACAGATCAGATAAAACCACAAGCCACCTTTCAAGGCATCATAGTAGTTCTTTAGTGATGGTTGTGAATGAGTTTGGTGGTTCAGTGCTTGGGATCAGTCGGGCTAAAGGACTTCAGTTCAGTTCATGAGTGTAGAAGAGGAGATCATGAATTATGCTTCCCCGTGCCAAAGATTATCATGAGAACATAAGCATGTTTGGCAGCAAAAATAGCCACTCCCAACTGCTTATCCGAACTTAACAAAAGCATTTGCATACAATCAGATTTGACATTTTGGCATTCACTCTTGAAGGAGCATTGTAAGAACAAGTTCACTTTTTAGGACCCACAGAGAGAGAGAGAGAGAGAGAGAGAGAGGACACCACTGTGAACTGGCATTTTTTTACCTATCTCTGCCTTGATGGCGCCGACCACCATTGTCTTCATGCCACAACAGGGGGAAGGGTTTTATGTCAGACGGCCTTAAAACCTGCACAGGAAATGTCAAAGGAGAACTATTGTTGATCTCCATTCGGAAGCATTGCGTACCATATGCATAGACAATGTACATCACATCAACCCAGATCCTGAAGTATGTAACTTCAAATATAATACTTTGGCATTACCTGCACCCATGCTCAATGCACAAATGCAGGACAAAACGAGCCTTCCATCCCATGGTGGATCCTGGATGATATCCACGGGAGGATAAGCGTACATGTATGAATGTAATCTTAAATGAATCTTGGATCAATGACTCCCAAGCATGGTAATCAAATCAAGGATCATATCGCAAAACAAAATCTTTGTTTTCAGAACGAGAATCAAAAGTACCAAATTCAGAGGTTGCCAATATATCACATATATGCTACAGATGTAAACAAAAACAAAGATAAAAAATAAAAGCAGAACTGTGTTCAAAATAAAGGAAATACTATAGCATTACACAACAATGAATTTTGTTAATTTCCCATGGTGGAATTTTATATCGGGGAATTTTTAATTGTTAACTCATTGGTTACCAAGTGATTCCCTCATGCATCACATAGATTCTTAAAGATTCATTACAAATGAGACTCAACTTACCAATATGTATCAAAAAGGTGTCGAATTGAAATGAATACAACCGTAAGATGTGAATTGAGAATCGCAGAATTTGAATAAGTATCTTCCCAAATATATCAAAAATTGTTTGGCTAAGGAAAGGAGGTCCAATTACTTGTCCAAACATTTTATTTTCCCTTTTGTGCCCCCAGCTGGTGCTTCTAATCTAATAAACCATGAAAAAAATCTATCGGCCAGAAAGCAGCTAATGTCAGTGGCAGTGTGTTCTTAAGGAACAGTAAGGAATGATTGGCGGACTAAGATATGATTATAAAATGGTCAAACAGCCACGATGAGACCTGGATAACAGTCACAGAAGGGGACCCCATCAACATTAAGTCCCACTATCCATCATTCATTGAACACATGAAAGCTTGACAGAAAAATCAATGAATCTCCTCACCTTACTTCTCACACAAGAATAATTATTAAAGAACAATTGTTAGAGTACAAGGAGCCCCATGTCACATACCTTTTTAGGCATAACTACTCCATCAGGAGGCTGTGGAATGTGATTATGAAGTGGAGGATTCACAAAGGTAACATTTCTACACAACAAAAATACACCGTCTTGAGGAATTGAAGGATAACTAAGCACGTTAAAACAACTAAGGAAGATGGAACTTACAAAATTCGGTTAGCCCTAATGTCTTGCAATCCACTGATTGGGGAAGGAATTACCATTCTCTGCCCATTCCTCCCACATAACCAAAGGAATCCATTCATTCCACCACTGGCAAACATCGGTGACAGATTAAGGTTGTAAGATCAGTCTATGATAAAGATCACAAATGAGAACTAGTAGAATAAATTTCGCCACAAAACCAACCTAGCACTTGGTTTAATTGGCCATAAAAGATTTTGGTTGGGGGGCATTCGATCATAATGATGGTAGCAGAAGGAAATTTGTGCAGCCAATGGATGAAGAGAATGGACATAGAGCAAATTGCCCATCTCACTGTTCCGTACTTGCTCTTCCACCTGCAAACCCGAAATCATAGATGAACATAGTGCATTACAGATGTTCTGTGTTGTGGTATGCTTTTCTAAGATCTTGCACCAGTTAATGCCTTAAGTATTTGACTTTTCCGGGAATCATTAGCCAACAAACTAAAATTCCAAATAAAGAGGAGGATAACAAAATCCAAAATAGCATTTTATTTGATAATTAGAGGAATGGCAACCTGATTTGATCATTGTGCTTCCTGAAAGGAAAAAGTCGTAAACTTTCAAAAAAAAATTGATTCTCTCAACAGCTATTTTTTAAAAAAATTTAGGAAATAGCATTTTTTTTTAATCCAAGAAGTCTGTTGAGGGAAAAAAAAACACATTCCTCAACAGCTCATGAATGTATGCAGAAAACAATAAAATTTCTTTTAAAAAAACTAGCTTTTAAGATAGACAACGGTACCCATATAATACAGAGACTAAACAGTAACCAAGATTATATCAAAAGAGAAAGCAGCAGAAAATAAGAAGACAATGTGGAAGAAGGGAATGTACAACCTAAGCCTCTGTTTGGCATTGAGGAAAATAGAGTGGAAAGAAAGATTTCAGTTGTTTAGTTCAGATAGAAATTAGGATGGACAGGAAAATTGGAGGGTAACGGCTCCACTGGCGCCCACCATAATTTTACACTGCCAATTTTTATAGCCACCACAGAGGAGGGGGTGCAGAGTGGGAGGAAAAGGTGAAAGTTGGGTCATTCTTTTACCCTTATTTAGGCTCTTCCTCTGTGATCAACAATGGCTGTCAATTTGCAGTATCCAAAACCAAACTGAATATCCAAACCAACCACTCTGCCCACAGGCTTGTCTACCTCAAGAACAAGATTAGATCCTTCATCAGGAACCAAAATAACTGGGGATCCAAAGAAAATAGACCAAAATCAACTGCAACAGCCGTGGATTATATATGATGATGGTCACTTCTAAAACTAGATATATTTTGAAATTTTGCTTTTGGGTTTTGAATTTGGGTAATGGGATTTGGGATTTAGAGCGGGTTTTGTAGATGGTTTGGGGAAATTGGTTTTGTTATATTCCAAACACCCTAGACATTCACAATCTAATTTACTCCCATTGAGGCATGGAAACATTTATAAGATGCCGCAATATGTTAGCTAACTAAATTATTTAATAATATTATAACTATGAAAATGAATGATTTAAGGAAGTGTATTCTAGAAAATATATAAAGGGAGATATTCATATCTGTACAAATTATCAATGTATTAAAATTTTTAAGACATACAGTGGAAATTTGTGAGAGACAGAACCTTGAAATGAAGAAAACTGAGAATCAATTTGGCCTTTTGCCTCGAAGGTCAACAATAGAAACTATATAGTTAGCCAAATAACGAAATTTTGCCAAGACAAAAACGAAAGATCTTCATATATGATAGAATTTGGTAACTGTATCATTAAAAACACAAACTGAATGTTTATCACAATATGGACCCATGGGCCACGAAGCCTTATTTATGCCAACAAAGAGACTCAAGATACAAACGCAAAAATTGAACCCTTGCATGGTAAAACCCCTCATATCATCACCATCAGTTGCAATGTTCAAGCAAAAAGCACAAACAGCTTTACTGCAGACAGTGACCTCTTAGCTCTCTAACTCATGTATTGTTTGGCTTTCTTGGTGGTCTAAATATCTTCTTTGTTAAAAGGCTCTCCTACCTACAATTGCGCTGGCTTCTACTGCTTTGATTCTATATTGCTAATGGCTCACTTCATTTTTTCTGACCAGTCTAATAGCTCTCTTCTTATGCATATACAGTTTTGATTACATGGGCAGAAAAGAAAAAGGGTAAATATTCGAACCGTTAAAGTGTCTTCAAGCTTCCTTGTTTCAGCAAGCAATTTCTTCTCATCAATGAATGGCAATTTTGCAACACCCTGGGGTTTTACAGAAGAAAACCAATGTCATTACCAAAAGTTCAGAAAATAAACCACTAATCCAATCTACCTGCAATAATAAAAAAATGCTCTGAAATTATAGATGGACTACCTGCCATGCAAAACGCTTCCCGTTCATGTCAATTTCAAAATCTATCCATATAAAAGACCATTATTTTTGGAGAGAGAGAAAGAGAGAGAGAGAAATGAAACGTCAACAATCAATAGATATTACCAGAAGGATAGAATTCAGAAATAGGTGACAAGGGATCAGTCATTAAACTTCTGTATTTTTCAGGCAGAGCACTTGCACTGCAGCAAAGAAGGGATAAATTTATGTCACCACGAATCAACCAAAGAAAAATTTAAGTAACAAAGAGGTTAACTAATTATCATTTCGCATAACTTCCAATTGTGAGGAAATAAAATAAAAGCACTGGACCTTGCAGCAGGCAGGGTTCCCATGAGCTGATCAAATGGTTTAAATGGCTCTCCAGGGAAAAAAGTTATTTCCAAATCCACTAAATCTATGAAATCAGAAGCAAATGGAGCATAATGATATGGGTAATACCTGAAACAAACATCAATGATCAGACAGATGGAAGTTTTTTGAAAATAAACGAAGCTAACCACATACCATGTAACTTCATGATAAAACCTCAAACTCCTTATCTATTTTACATAGCCCATATCCTGAAATTGTTTGTGATCCCAATAACCTAGGTGCCATAACTATCATAGAAGTAAGATCAGATCTTGCATATTTCTTAGACGTTTCCCCATAGTTTTGAGGAAACAAAGAAACATTTTCCTTCTTCCTCTACCCATAAGCTCCTACATTTTCTATTGTGCCCATCCAATCCACAATACAATAACACATGGTCGGCAGGCTCCTCCAATTTCTGTATGTATTTGCTAATACCCACTTCCATTCAAATTCATAATCCATACACAAACACACAGGGCTGCTCAATCACTAGGCCAATAATGTCTGGACTTTTGGCCCCACTTTAAGGAAGGCCCCATAATTTTTAGATGTCTAGTAATAGCCCAAATAAAAAATCTAAATCCACAAGAAATAAGCCCCCCAAAAAGCTTAGATTTAAGCTCAAACAAAATATTTCAACTTGAGTGAATTGGGCCTATTAATTCAGCCCATGAAATTAAAAGGCCCTAAAATTCAATTTTTTGAAAAAGAAAAAACAGCTAACAGTAAAACTACTAATTGTCAAGTTCAAACTTACCATCATAATCTCTCTCTCTCTCTCTCTCTCTCTCCCTCTCTCCCTCCCTCTCACCATCAAGTTCAATTATGATAACAAAAGCTTGAATATAAAAAATTAATTAATATTTTCATTTTAACAAATAATAAATAAATTTATTATTAATATTAAAAAAAAAAAGCCTCATTTATTGTTTCCATTTTTAGGCCACAAAATGTCCCAGGCGCCCCTTCAGACACATCAATGATAACATGGGGAATAGCAAAGCACAAGGAAGTATTAGTTAGGTTTTTACGGTCTAAAAGGAATAGCACTGACCATAGCCAAGAGCATACACCTTGGTAGTAATACCAGCAAACCCAACATAATCCTTCTACATACTTCAACACCTGCAAAGACAACATGTATCATCTAGTGCATCCACAACTCGCAGCAACACATACTTCCACTTTAACAATAACATTCCACATACTATGGAGTTCGATGGTATTGACTGACCAAAATAGTAAAAAAACTATGTATAACAACAATGTGCAGCATTAACAATTTAACAACATTTACAAAAATTTGTTATATATATTTGTCAATATGCCATATATGTCTTTTTGATGCACACTCTTCCAAGATAAAGATGATGGCAACAATCATGTAAAACACCTGGAACGTCAGGGAGTAAAAATCATTGTCTCAATCCGCAGCCCAAATGAATAAATAAATAAGAGAAAAGGAAGAAGGATACATATGTCAAATTTTCCCTAAGAATGGATAATCAGTTATATAAATATTACAACAAAACAATTAAAACATATACCCAAAAGGAGTTTCATAAAACAAAATCTCAGAGGGGGAAATAGCAATGGGTGCCTGGGAACATCTTTCGAAAAATAACATACGAAGAGACTCATATGATATCCTACTTCAATATAATTTCATATTCATCAACTACTTTTCAACAGGATGCTTAAGTTTTTCCAATGCCTCAACTAACCCGTATAATGTAAAATTCAAAATGTATCCCATTCCTTAACACAAAGGTAACAGCTCAGACCAACCATTTGGCGTGAATTATGCCGAATGTTAGTTTTGCACTCCGTCCATCCTCCAAGCACCCTTAATTAATGAAGACCAAACTGGGAAATGATCTTTGCAAAACTCCTACAACTACTATACGATATAGCCATGACCTTAAAAAGAGGAATCCTTGTATGATATCTGATAAAGTATGACACATCATCAAGATTTGGAGACTTGTAGTATCAATAACACCGATATTCTCAGCACACTAAAGAAGCCAATCTAGAGAGCAGAAGGGTGGGGTGGGAGATAGACATCATCAACAAACTGTAGCCCATTTATCATGTGATTTTTTGGCTTGAAAATTAGCATACACTTTTAGTTCAAACATGATAAGATCAAGACACGGACAAAACAAAATTATACATGGGAAATTTTAATATAAACTAAAAAACTAAATCAATTACTAAACTCATTTCTATGTATATTAGGGCAAAATATTAAGAAACTTACTGTATCTTTCCTCACTCTATCAATATCCTTCGGGTTTGATAAACCAAATTTCTCAGAATAATACCTTTCTTTGTATCCAGGCTCTCCTAATTTCACCTGAGAGGAAAAAAAGAATGGTAAATTCATGATAGAATTGTGACACTCTCATTCAAGTATATTTCAAATGTACGCAGATATGCAGATGAACCAAGGTTCCACTATCCTAGCACAAATGAACTCCCATTGTTCACAAACTAGATTAAAAATTACAAGAAATACGTAAGGAATACTTGTTCCATTATTAACATCTTTCATAATGTTAAGCATATGGCATGTGTGTCCTAGAAATAATGTTTTTGAAATACTAACAGTCTCAAAACCTTTAATCCTGAAGAGAGGCACGGAGGAAGAAGAATTTTCAAATAATTGAAGAAAACTGAATCATTTATAAAAGGATTTTGTACCAATCTATCATGACAAAACAATAGATCAGAGGATGGAAAAGAGATTAGCCAACATAGACCTCTCCACATCCTTAACCTGTGAGGCTCATGCCATCTCCCCAAAAAATGAAATTCTGCATATACTGGGACAAAATTGTTCACAATATAATTCTATTCAGAAAAGGAAAAAGGAAGATTCAAAAGAAGAGTGCAAGATAGAAAGTATGAAAAGTATGAAACACGATTCTTTCATGCTTTGACACCATGACGATCAATGAACCTCAATCAAAAAGATATTGACCTTAGGATAGACTACACACAACTAAAAGAAAAAAGTCAATCCTCACAGATACCAATACGTAGGCAATCTTACTTAGGCTGCAATCATTACTAGTTCATTCAATGACAACCACGCGATCACTTAATGTGAGAAACTTCAGAGAATCAACAGTTAATCTAGATTTTTTAGAGATGAATTATTTTCCAAAGGTAACAGTGCTCCTAAAAGAAATTAAGAGACATGCAGGTAACAGAACCAGAAACGTTGCTCACAATTTTTGAGTAGAAGTGATTAGAAAAGCGGCAAAAAAGGGCTCCGCAACACCATGTACCCACAATTATAACCAGTTAGGAGCCAAAAAGAACTTTCCCGAAAAAGCTAGGAAGGAAAAAGTTGACCCTGAATACAAGTCATTAAACAAAAAACACACGAAAGTTCCCACAAAAATTAGCTAATGGAAGAACAAAATTTGATGCTTTTAGACAACAGATTGATGAGAATATCAATCTTATCATTGAAGAGATAATGATATAAATTTCTTAAACTCGAAGGGAAAGGCATAAGCTAAAACGATCAAATCAGTTTGAAGGATATACCAATATTATTATCATAATTTATATTAGAAAAACAAATATTAATTGTAGAGTGCAAGGACGTTAACAAAGAAGTGCAAGTTATGCTTCCAAAAAGGCCAAGAAAAAACATCACTGACAAAACATTATAATGAATTCCACTATGCTAAAACAGACACTCATGGAGGGTATGAAAGACATTTAATTTGTTGCCGAGACTCCTAATAGATGAACCACATGCCTCATCAACTGGTGCTCACAGTTCAACTTTCATCCAACCATACAAGAAAAATACTAACTAATGTCACCCGATAGAAACCAACTAACAGCTTCTAGTGCAAAACAGAAAAATTGAAAAAATACTTCATTTAGGTCAGAATTTCTCCGTCCATGACATAGCTACTACCCCACAACCTAGAGAGATAGAAAGAATCTCTATTGTGCTAGCCAAAATGACCACAACACTAAAGTGGCAAGGATACCTAATACAATAGCAATTAAAGTTTATTCAAGTCTCCTTCAAGAAGAGATAGGAGCGAGAGGGGACAAAGAATGCAAATCTAAGAAGTACTAATGCGAGATATAAATATGAAACGATACAAATATGGTGATGAGAAAAAAAAAATATGAACACACGAAAAAAGATCAACTAAATATTTACTTTGTTCCTGTTCAAAAACAGGATACATTAAACAAATCCACAAATCCTAATTGAGCATAAATTGTATATACTTCATTACCCAGGCAGTTCAATTGGCAACTCATCTCAAACGCCAAATAAATAACAATCCATCAAAGATAATAAACTTGGTCACATGCTTTCACTTCCTAGATGTGTCCAATTTTGAAATTCAATTGTAAAGCTATAAAAGAGGCTTGAACAAGAATTCCCAAATTTTTACTTCAAATAAGTACCTATTTTATTTACCTCAATGACCCTTTTTAGTTTCAAAAAAAATAAGATGGCCCCAAAACACACACACATACCCCCTGTATCCATCATATCTCCTTGGTGTTTTCAAACCATATCCAAAATTGAAAATACTTTTAAAATATCCAAGACATATCTGCCCATGCCCTTATTTGTATTTGTATCCGTATCCAACATGTAGTGGAGCATCCTGCTTCAAGAAACCACCATCACTTACCTAAGATCAAAGAGGAACGACAAAACATAATAGGACAAGGAAAGGGTTCTGTTATGAGGACAAAGGGCATGTGACAAAGAAATAATTAGTTTTTTTTTAAAGTCTTATTTGACACAACTTTTAAAAGCGGAGATTAATAGGGGTTAAATGGTGTCCAATCAGTAAAAGAAAAGCAATTTTTTTTTTTTTGGAACTAAAACACAAGTTAATTGGAAAGACCATTTTGAGAAGAGTGAAGTAAACCGCGAGTTTAACGTAGTAAGGGTAGTCTCCTGGACCAAACTAGTCTTCAATGGCTCATATAATCAGTTGGAATGTTAGCCTAAACCAAAAATGAGAGTGGGATTAGCAATGGGGAATTTGGTTTGGAGAAATATCGCTTCGCCGGGATAGTGGTTGAGGAAGTTTCAATTGGAATATAATCCATTGTAGCCTTCAATTCTGAAAAGGAAATAAGAACTTAAGTCCAATGGATTGGGACTCAAACGTGGTGCTTAGGGGCCCTTTTCAAACTGCTTGGAAATTTATTTCCCAATGTTTAAGCTGTTTCACTACAAGTCACATTGGGGGAAAATTAATTTTTGGGGACACTTATCGCAAGGAGAATCTTCTTTTAATTTGTTTTTCTAAGGCTCTTCAGATTGTCCAAGTCTCATAATATTTTTGTTGCTAGTCTGCCTTCCTCATTGCATATGCAGGTTGGGTGGAATTTTTATTTTTAAAGAAATTTGAATGATATGAAAATCGGGGAACTTCATCATTGTTGTTTTCCATCGAATAGGTAGCTTTGTAGTCACCAAATTCTGATAAAAGGTTCTGGATTCTTGATTCTTCAGGTATATTTTCTCACAAACCATTCTTCCCTTCATTAATCGATGATCCACTATCCTCCATTTTTGTGTCCTCTTTGATAATTTGGAAGGCTTAAGTGTCTGTAAAGGTACTCGTTTTTGCATGGAATATTGTAAATGCCTCTGATTTGATCCAAGCAGAAAGCCAAATGCTCGCCTCTTTATGAGTTGCAGTGCAAATTTCAAATTTGTTTCATTGCTCCATTTTGTTAAATTTTTGGTACAAGGTTTTCACGGAGGCAATGGTGGATTGGGTAGTCCCATGATATTGTGTTTCCTTGTTGTAGGGAAATTATAGAGGTTTTAGGAAGGATAAGTAGACTTCAATTAATTGTATTATTATGCTGATTCTTTAGGCAGTTTGGATGGAAAGAAATAGTAAAAACTGACAAAAAAATGGAGTATGAGGAGATTCTTTGGGAAAGAGTAAAGTTCTTGGCGTTTTTATATGTGCTGGCTTCAATATTATATATCAAAAATGGAGTGTAGTATATATTTTTTCTTTCCGTTTCGGTCTGAGAAGCATTAGTTAAAGGGGATGGTTCTCTATTGTAATCTTAGCTCTTATTTTTTTATTTGTGCTTTGGATGGATTCCTGTCCACCTTCCTTGCACTTCTTCCTATCTTTAACGAAAATTATTGTCTCTTACCAAACAATAAACAGCTCCCGAGTAAAAAATGGGCAACATCAAGATTCCTGAGTCAGTTTAAGGTTCCAAGAAGTGGAAACAATTAAAACAGCAGCAGAGAAGGAAATGTAACCATTAAGTCTTCAAAGTGAAATCAAGCAAGACAACATCTTTAAAAGGGCGATCTCCCACCACAAATCTTACCAAAAGAGATCCTAAATCAATCACCAGCCCCCCATATCATGAAGAGTTGGACCCACAGAATAACCAAAAGGAGGACAGGTAAACTAGGGTAGTATTCCAATGGCCTTCAATAGTCTCCCCCTAGGCACATCAGCGTCCCAACCATTATCCCAAGAAACGGTTACATCCTAGCATATTCTATATTCAGAACCTTCAAGAAAGATGGCTCCTTAAGGCTAGAAAGCTTCATGAATCATAAATTCAATTCTTATAATAGAAATGTGATGGCTGAAAAAGGTTCACCAAATCAATGATTGCCTAAAAAAAGCTGACAAAAAAGCAACTAACATTTCATTTATGGTTTAGATACAACCTATGCAATTGTACTATTGCAGTTTCCAAGATCTGAATTTACCATCTTAAATTGACAAACTACCGCAGATTATTTTTTGGCAGAAGTCAACAAACCTTGTCCACAATTGGAGCCAGTGGCTCTTCACATCCCTCTCTTCTTGATTTAAGCTTAATATCTTCATTGTTCTCCTGCGCCTGAAACAGAAAATAACTTTCTTTTAGTATTATTGATGTAATTTATAGCTTTTGCTGTGCACCAGGATGATTTTTTATGTTTCTTACTTGATTATATTGTAATAAAGAAATTTATTCCACTTTGTACTTTCTCCTTGAAACATCAATTACACTATGACTCCTAACTTCACAGTAAGTTTTAATTATACTAAAATCAAAACATCAGATAAGATTATTGCCGCCAAACATTTATAATTTCATATAGTATATTACAATCATCTAAAGTTTACCATGCCCAATAAAATTTAGTGTAACCATTTTCATTAAGAAAAATCAACCTTTCTTTACATATGCTACAATAACGAAATAGTATTCATCCATAGCCTGCACTCTAATCCTTTTCCTCTACTCTAGTGATAGTGCACATCTCAAACTATGAAGGGCCTTTGAAGCCCACACCACAAAATGCTACAGCATAAACATGGGCTGGTAGTAGTATAGATTGTTATGAACTGCATAAAAGCTTATGTCTTCATATAGGAAGAAGCCCCCAATAGCTCTCCTAGCCATTGCATGCAACCTTTGTAAAAATACTGATTTCATCGAGGGTTGTACTACTGTTTTCTTTGAAGGAGGGAAAAAAGAGACTCCCATGTTCGTGGGTTGGCGAGAACAAACTCTCTTTTGAATTCCAAGGCGAGTCCTATGAACTTTGACCAAGAGGAGTAACTCGCGCTCGCCTCGTATTTCATTCCAGCTCTCAGACAACGCTCAAGCACCCTAGTATTCTCTACTTGTTCACCGGTGTAGGTTTGGGGTACGGTCAATTCACCAGGATGATAGTCCTCCCAATTCAAAATTTTTTCTTGCAATTTGAACCTTGTTGACTATGACAACAGTCGCGACTATAAACAGACTCGCGACTATGGCAGGGCAGTACGCTTTGCTCTCTTGCGACTCCTACTCTAATCAACAAACTAAAGGCCCCTACTAAAGATTCTAGGTCGCCAAAGCAAGCTTTGCCCTAGCTACCGATATCCTTGGAAAAGCAAAAGAGCTATCGAAGGAAAGGGATGACGCCTCTCCCTTGGCCTTTGATGAGGAGAGGATAGAGAAGAAAACGTCCTTCGCACAAATTTTTTTGACTTCCTGCGCCCTTACTAGTTTTGGGGCTTCTTCGACCAAGGAGGCATTCTTGCAGGAAGGCCGACCACTACATAAGCCGCAATCAGAAAATTATAATATGTTGTTTTCTTCCACTCTTTCCTTGGACATTTATTTTTTTCTCATTAGGTAATACAATAGATCATAGATCCACTATGTTAGAGATATGTTGGTTGAGAGGATTGCTTGTCGACCTAGGAATTTCATTTTCTACTCCTACTCCTATGTTGTGACAACAAATGTTATTCAAATTGCACACAATTATATTTTTCATAAGCATACAAAGCCACCAAGCTTGACTGTCATTTCGTACAACACCATCTTTTTCAGGTTACGACCATTTCCTTACCTGCGTAACATCATGAGTTTCATGGAGGTTTTAAGATTATATTTATATGTATTTGTGATTAGGGGTAGTCTAGACTTTTTTCTTCTTGTAGGGTTTGCTTATATTGTCTCTTGCCCCTATTTATCATGATTGTATTATGGGTGGGCAACAATAGAATTCTTTTCCTCTTTCTTCTTTTTAATTTGACCTAAGTTTACACTAACAAGATGAACCTAAGTATCACAGACACGGTAAATGATACAGCTTTGCATGGTGTTTGAATAGAGGCTGCTGCTTAGGAACAGCAAAATTTGACAATTCTTATCAGGTAACACATTAAAAATCAGCAAACAGCCATTCAAGACATGACAACTGGCTGTCCCTATTATAACTACTCCTTGGAATATCCTCAATTCTTTAAATTCAGCATAATGAATTCAGTCGGCTTGGAATAATTGAAGCATAAATTATTTTTTTTTATGCAAAGCCAATTAAACAAGAAGTTGAGACAATTTCCCATATGTAAAACTAACTTATTTCCAAAATGAAACCTTTCAAATTCTTTATAGGAACACAGTAAAGCGAAGTATCACTCACCATCTCGCAACCAGTTTTAAAAAAACCAATAGAATATACACATATAGCACCAAAAATACAAACAAGAAATTTTAAAACTCAGTTTACTGACTTTCAGTGGATTTGAAAATGAACAAACATGCATAAGCAATGGAATCCCTGCATATAAAAGTAAAATGATCTATTAATACAGTTTATACAGAGCCGTTTGTGAATTTACATTGCACACTAGAGCATGGAAAAACCTCAAACCTCAAAATCTTGGGCCTGCTATTTCATCCTGCATGTCCAAAAATTATAAGACATTGTTGATTTCACAATTGCTCAAACATTATCGATTTTACAATTGCTCAAATTTGATCATTCTATGCGTCCACAAGAGGGAGAACTAGGATGCAAATCTAAATTTTGAGTTATTCGGACTCTTTTATCAGGTTATAGAATGTACAAAGTTTTCGCTAAAATCTTGATTATAGATGCTTATATTTCAAACCAAAAACCAAACTTGGGAAATATAAAATGCCTTACAACACAGTTTACAAAGAAGTGGAAAAGAAATATTTAATCTGTGGTGTAAAATCTTCTACCTGCTGTACTTTTGCAACACTATGTTCGCAGGCATAACTTTCTTTTTCAAAATTTGAAAAAGAATGTCAATTTGTGAATTTGATGATTCTTACCATAACCAATTCAATTCAGAAAAACAATTACCAATTCAATTCGATTCTCAGTTCAGGAAACCCACATTTCTCTCTCAGAGAGATATCTCGTATTTCATTTTTCGATATGAATCCCAATTTAACAACTACGGCCAAATATCAAATTCATCAAAAAGAGCGAAGAGTAGTAGTTAGGAGTACTGCTTGATATCTTGATTTCTAACTGTATGTGCTAGAAGAAATTTACTTGAATATAAGAAGCTCCAAAAAAAAGCAGCAGAAAATAAGTTTCATACAAACAAATGTATTCTCTCACACAATCTCCAATAACAGAAGCACTACTATATGTGGCCTTATGCTGCACCATCTGCAATCCAGCTACCACTAATGCCAATAGCAATAATATTAGTAGTACAGGAAGTGACAGCAAACAACAACTATAGCAAAAATAAAATATGGCACATCTAGAGGTTGAAATACATCAAAAAAAAGAAGTCTCTTTCCTTCCCACGTATCTGTGGTCACAGAAACAACAAAAGCATTCTTATCAGAAGAGAGAGAGAGAGAGAGAGAGAGAGAGAGAG